TCCATGGGGGGTGAAATTGCTTGGAATCTTCTAGAACATTCCAGAATAGCCTTGAATAGCCCAAAAATTGCCCCTTAATCGATTTTGGTGCCTAGGTGCCAAAATACGGCACCTAGGCACCGTTTTTGGAGCGAGACTTGTGACTAGGCACCAGTTTGGGCTCTTAGGTGCCACCCTGAGGGCAGCTCCACTGTTTTGCCTTGTTTTAGCATCGTTTTACCTTGTTTCAACTCCGTTTCACTCCAAATTGTCTTGCCTACAAGATAAGTATGAAAATAAAATTTTTTTTAAAGTAAAATTTCATTAAAAAATGTGTGATATATGTAAACGACATTAAGGATAGAAAGACATATCGAATGTGCCAGGTAAGAATTTTCTTCCATGCTCATTTGACTCCAAATTATCTTCCTTTAAAATGTAATATCATTAAAAACAAGCTTAAAATATATATGAAAAAGTAGGTACTTTTTAGGCATGTCATTACTTTCTTTTCTATTTTGTAATAAAGATCTGCTTGGATTTTTTATATGTGATTTTTTTGACGATGCATGGCTAAACTCCTTTTCATGTCTCTATAAAGTAGAGGTGGTTGGTTTTATCATGGTTTTCTGAAATATTTTTATTGTAGCATTTTCTTAGGGTTATAATTCTATCAAGCTAAGCTAGGAATGAGAGAGAAGCATGGCGTAGGTTTTCCACTTTTGCCATTCAATATCTTGAAAAGTGGATAATTCATTTAAAATATTTATATAAATATAACGATATATTTTTATATTTCCTTCAATAAAAACACTAAAAATAGCTACTTCATTTTAAACTGAATTCTAAATATATTTTTAATACCTAGCCTCTACTCACTTTATAGTTTTTAAAATAATATAAATAATGAACACTCCCTAGTTTTACATGATAAAATCTGTATTAATATGTGTATATATTATTTATAGGTTTTAATTAAGATTCACTATTAAGTAGTCGATAGCTTGCATAGATTTTTTGCCAAGAAAGCATGGCATGAATCATTTAAATCATTGTTTATGCTAAGGCGTCCCCCTGAAAATGATGCATGTATGGATTGAATAGATTTAGAAATGTGCAAGGGCTGTTACACTAGTGCCCAGGTCTAATGTCAAATAAATAAGTGGTCCCACGCTTTTTACGGAAGAGGACAATGAAGTTTATCCATGAAACTAATATTATGATAGAATCTTGGAATATAGATACTCTCACAGGAAAACTCATGAAATTAGTAAATTTTTAGTCCATAGAAAAATAAATCTTATGCATTTAAGAAATGAAATGGATTTCATTAAAGGCTAATTAGATTGATGAAACTAAATTTATTTGATAAAAGGCCAATGAGATTGATAGCTTAGAACACAAACTTTGGTATTCGAGTAGAAGTCACACTAGAAATTGTGAATATTAATATAAATAATATTTTGAAAAAAATATTGCAAGAATTAATAGAACTTGATTAATGTTGTTGCTTAACCTTTGAGTTTCATTTACCCCTAGTCTAGTCAACTAGGAGGTTAAAATATTTCGTGAAGCTATAAACACTAAACTTTGTGTAGTGGAAATGAAATGGTTAACCATAGGACTCGAAGAGAATAGACATATTTTGTTAGAGTTATACAACCTTTTCTGAGGATCAAATCGTTTCTGTAAAACGCCACTTGGATTGAAAAACCCTCAACTTCATAAATTCTAGTCTTCTTTTGATACAAACTTATGCATAAAAAGAACTTATATCCCTAATTGACAACTATCACGTAGAAAAATATTTAAGAACACCACAGCCACCACGACCCTCAAC